TATCCAGTCCAGCAAACTAAAACAAAGACTCCCAAACCCTCATCCTCTTGTTGAAAGCCTGCTTGGCCATTCTCCCTTAACCTCTCAGTTTCAATCTCCTACTTCCCATTATAATTAATACAATTCTGTAGCAAAATGTTTGAGCCATACAACAGCTTGATACCTACCTGGAAATATCATTACAGGGGGAGCCTGGGGAAAGCCATGGGTATTGTCTGTGGTTTGTTTGGTTCATTTTGGTTTTGGTTTTGTTGGTGGTGGTGTTAGAAATTGAACCCAGGGCCACACACACTACAAAAGCACTGCTCACAGACCATAGCCCCAGCCTGCTCCATCACAGCCATTTTTTTTGACAAAGGATCTCAGGTAGCCCAGGTTAGCCTCAAACTTGCTGTGTATCTGAAGCTGATCTTGCATACCTCATCTCCCTATCTCCACCTCCCATGTTCTGGGATCACGGGTATGTGCCACCATGACCAGGTTTCTGAGCTACTTAAGAAGTATCAGGGCACCATAAGTGAGCCTGCTTTAAGTCTAAGAAGGGCCCTTTGCTAGTACAGTTTTCAAGACTCCCTAGAGCAAGTGTGCATGATGTGAAATGTGCTCCTTCAGAGGGCTTTGCGATGGTTGACTCTGAAACAAGCCCTTGAGGGAAGGTTCAGAGCATGCTCCATAGAGACCCAGCAGTCTGCTCCCACCAGGTGACCTCCCTGGCCCCATAGCCACGTCCCCCTCACTCCCTGATAACAGTTTCCCAGGACTCCCAATGCATGGAAATAAAGATTTAGGTCAGCCTCTCCAGCTCATCTACCAACAAGGGTAACAGCAACGCTTGAGGTCAATTGCTGATGAATTAATTTCCCTGGAAACCCAACAACTGGATCTTGACCTGCTGTCCATACCCCTCCATCTTTGAACCAGCTCTAGTCTGGGCAACTTGTAGCTGCCACTACCCCTTCTACCTCCATGCCTTCTCCAACAGTGCCTGACTTAGAGAGAACTTTCCACATCTGTTCCTTCATCGCTTCTTCAGTCCTAGCTATTCTGGAGATTTTCCTTTCATCCCCTCATAGGTAATTCCCTATACACCATTTCTATTGCTTAATAAATAAATATTTATTATTTGGAGTAGAGGCGGGTGTGTAAGTGGGCAAATGTTCTGATACTTGCATGGAGGTCAAAGGATAACTTCATGGAGTTGATTCCATTCACCCTTGGTGAGTCCCAGGGTTCAAACTCACGTCACTAGTGGTTTGCAGAAAGCACCCTTTCCTATTGAACCATCTTGCCAGTCCCTCCTTTTCAATTCTTTACAATAGATATTCTGATAAATGACTCTGCAAATCATCTTCTTCCCGAATGAACAATGGTGGATAGTGCTGTTTGTTTGGACTGACCTGGTTTGGCCACAAGTGCACAACTTAACCAAGATTGACTACCAGAAAGACACGGAAAATTTATTGACTGATCCTGGATCCGTGTTGGAGACATCCAGACTGTATGCCTGGGGATTGGGGGGTGGGATGGGAGGTGCCAAAAGCAAACAGTGAGGATTTGATTTGGGGAAACCACTACCGGCACATCTGGGGGAGACCTAACACGGTAGCACCAAAATGGAAGAAGACAACGGGCTGACCACCCATCAGAGCGAGGGACCCTGGACTGAGGATGCCCGGCAGTGCTGAGGTGGATAACATGTAATCTTGCTTTGATAAAAGGAGGTATCCCTTATCTAAACATGCTCACTTGTGGAGCATTACTTCATCTTCCAGCTCAGAATCTCACCAGAAAATCCCTCCTATCATTCTTCCACATCTTCTCACAGTGTAGGATTCCCCTAGAGTCCAGCTTCTTTCTTATTTCCTGAATGGCTGCCAGGAGCTGCCAGGCCATCGGGCCTCCTTTCTTCCTTCTGGAAAGAATCTGAGAGTACCTCTGACCTAAATTTCTCTGCCGAATCCCCCAAGCTCTTTTCTTCTCCTCATCAAGACCATGAACTATCAGCTTCTTCCAAGGGCAACGACAACATGGATCCCTTTAGATTCTTACATCCCCATTCCTAAAGGCCAGGATAGTACAACATGGGGTGCTGAAAGAGTATAGGATCCACGCTAAGAAGGCAACAAACCCTATAAAATGCACCCAACAAGGAATAATGAGCCCCCCTCATTTCATCCTAAAACCCTAGTAATTCCCATCTACTTTGTTGTGTTAACTATGACACACACAACTTCTTCATTGACCCAAGATGTTCTTTGGATGTTAAAATACCCACACACACACTTTCACTTCTTAATCCTACAGAAAGAAATAGAAGTTTATTACACATTTGAACTTTTTATTTGTCTGATTGTTGGTTTTATTTTTGAGACAAGGTCTCATGTGGCTTATGCTTTCCTAGAACCCACATTGTAGCCAAGGATGACCTTCTACTTCAGATCCTCCTCCTTCTCCATCCCATGTGCTGGGATCATAAGTGTATCCCTTGCATTTGTTTCTAGAAGTATCAGATGCTTACCCAGGGTTTGATGCATACTAGGCCATCGCTCTACCCACTGAGATGAGTCACTCTCCAGAATAAATGATTTTCAACATTATGCTTGCCTGAGTTTGAACTGAATTCTGTAGCCATTGAGACACTCTTGAAATTTTTAGATGGAACAGAATTATAATTTAGAATTTTCTAGAATCTGAAATGTTATCAAAGGGGGAACCATGTTTATCCAAGCAATTTATTATAAAAGGATGGTCTTTCTGCACATGGCCTCGGAGTAGATCCAAGAAAACAAGAACAAAACAGGGCAAAAGGCTGTTCTAGAACAAAACCAGCACAGATGAAGAGAGGGATATTCGACATTTACAGCAAAGGGACAGGGTGCATAATGGTTTCACAGGGCACTCAAAGCAGAGGGAGAAGCCAGGCCACTCAGCGTTCTCAGGTCATTTGGCCAAAAAGGAAAAAGAGCCCAGAACAGGTTGGGAAGGGAAATAAAGAACCCACGCTACTTTATAGAACTCAGCAATTGTTTATCGAGCAGTGTAGACAGGGAGCTGTTTATTTGTAAACACATCAGGCATTTCCCCAGCTTTCTGCTCACCTTAGAAGTAAATCATTTGTTAATGAATATTTTCTCTGTGCTTGTCACAGTACAAACATGTGGTTTTAATGCAACCAGTGCCCAGCATAACTTTTTCTCATTTATAATTGTCTTTGTGGCTTTCTCATTTAAGTGTCTCTGTGGTCTACTAGACTTCCCAAGACAGCTGGCTAGCAGGAAACACAGGCACAGAGATGGACAAGGGCCAGATTCCCCAAGGCCTGTGACCAAGGTAAAGAGCTTGGGGTAGGAAGAGGGAAAGGTTTTCTGTTTGTTTGTTTGATTGGTTGGTTGGTTGGTTGGTTGGTTGGTTGGTCGGGTTTTGTTGTTTTCTTCTGTTTGTGTGAATGTGTGTATGGACACTTGTTTGTTTGTTTGGGTTTTTTTTGGTGTGTGTGTGTGTGTGTGTGAGAGAGAGAGAGAGAGAGAGAGAGAGAGAGAGAAACAGACAGACAGATAGAGGAGGTAGGAGGTTGTTTTTATTTGTTTGTTTGGTTGGTTGGTTTTTGTATGTGTGAGAGAGGTTTTAGTTTTGTTCATTTGTTCGGTTGATTGTTTTTTTCCCATGCTGTTAATATTTTCTCCTCTGACCTGGTTCAGCTCAAATCCCTGATGAGAGATCAGGAAGGGTCTTTGGCATTGCTTCCCATCTGTGAGTAATGCCAGAGCTGATCTTAAAGAGAGTAAATGATGGGAGTCAAAGGATGCCTGGGACTGCCTAGCTATCATTTACTGTCTGGGACAACCTGAGTGAAGTTTTGATCCTCTTTAATCTTTACCAATAAAATTAGGTTAATAACCGTTACCTAACTCATCATTGCTCTGATATGCAAGTTATATTCCAAAAGCCCGAAGCACAGTACTAAGCCAAGAATCAACACAGCAGCTGAGTGCTGATATGCCTGCTAAGGCTGCAGTTGTGCGATGTGATCCATTGCTCTCTCAGCCTCCACCCTGTCATTACACATACCAGGAATTTATCGCCCAATTCATCATCTGCCCAGCCCCTCACTCTGCTTCTGCCGGGAACTAGCATGCAATTTGGTACAGGGGAAGTAGATGAAGACTGCAAGCCCCGCAGACCACAGGGAAAACATTTTCCTCCGTTTCAGACATGTTTTCCTCTGTTTCAGACATGTTTTCCACCTTGTTTTGGCGCATCTCAAGAGAGTGATAATAATACTTTTCCTCATCAAAGCTGTAATTAGTATTCAATAAGAGACTCATGGGTGCAGTTAGCTCAGTGAGGCGGGGGCTTTGTTGACATAGCCCAAGAATTTTTCCCACTCTCTGCTCTGAGTAGGTCCTCAACCTGGCTGGGATTAAGTAGCTTGTGTAGTTACTTATTTACCCCTTCATTTAATCTGGCTTTATTTTTGTTTGTTTTTCCGTTTTGCTACGGGGTCTCATACTGTAGCCCAGGCTCACATGAAACTCATTGCGTAGGTTTGGCTGGCCTAAAACTCAGGGACGTCTCCCTGCCTCAGGCTTGAATGTGTGGGATTGCCAACATGAGCCACCAGACATAGGAAGTACTGTATTTATTAATGAAGTTATCTGAATCTCTTCCTGGACCTTAGTAAGTCTAGCTGGTTCTCAGCCCCTGGCCTCTACTCTTTCTTTCTTCAGCTCATTGACAAACTTGGAGCCTATAGCAAGAAAATTAACTTGCCAGACTAGACATGCTATTCCCACCTGTAGCTTCAGGTCCATGGGATCCAAATGCTTCTGGTTTCTGCACACACCTACACACGTATACACACACACACACACACACACACACACACACACATACACACACATGTATGCATGCGCACACACACTTTAGAAACAATGGAATCAATCTTTAAAAAATATACCTTGATCACTTAAAATAAATATTTATTTGTTTCTGTTTCCTCCAGAAAATGGAAGATCTCACACTTCATGGTTCCCTTCTCACCAGCAATGAGCCTGTTCCCTTCAGCATGAGCCTGCCTGTATGTTCCAGTTTGCCATAGTCTCTACAGCTCCCTATTGTGTCCTAGGCATAGCAGGTGGAATACGTATGCATTGCCTATGCTGTAGAAGATTCTAGAGAAGCAGCTCTTAGCTACGTTGCCTCCCTGACTGTTGGGAGATGTGGGAGTCAGTCAGCCTTTCTCTGGCACCCTAGAGAGGCCCCTGACAAATGGGTAGAGCTGTGTCACTCAAATCCTCCAGTGCAAGTACAGGCTGGGATGCCGGAGAAGCACGGATGGGAAGAGGTAGCCTGGTTTGTCTTGTTTTGATGCTAATCCGTAAAGACAAGCCACAACGTAACTGCAGCAAACGCTCACTGTTTCTTCCATTATATCAATAACTTTATAAATATCGCCATGAACGAGTGCTGCAGGTGGCAGCTAACCTTTGTTGTGAATTCGATTGACTAATACAGGCCAGGGCATTGTTGAGGTATCCCCTTGCTGAGGGTGTGTATGGGAAGGCATATCCAGGGAGAAGGGGAGGAAGAAAAAAGGACCTCTACTGGCTTGGGTTCTAAACTGAACAAACAGAGGAAACAAGGAAACCTGTTGTGCCCTGCCGCATCCATCTGCCTGCTTCTCATCTGCCCAGATGTGAAGGAGCAGCCGCACACTCGTTCCTGCCCTGACAACTGAGACCCGTTCCTGCCACTGTGCCTCCCCTGCCTTGATAGGCACGAGCCAAAAACAAACCATTTCTCCTCTAAGTGGCTTCTCACCAGGCCATGGCAATGAGAAAACAAATGCTTCGCACAAAATCTAGTGGATCTGAGTCTTTTGTGAGTGTGTAATCAAACCATCTGGACGTTTTCTTGCTGAGGGGCATGTTTACGAACATTGACTGTGAAGGTGGCATAGAACACAATCATATATGACCTTGACAATATGATTTTAGAGCTGTCAGTGTCTGCAAGGGGGACAGACACTGTTTGCTATCCTGTTGACCCAACAATGCTCTGACAGAAAATTGAAATCCTGCTGTGCTTTCCCTCGCCTTGGTTTACATAAATCAGTGATTTCTTGTCTCCACAATTTTGAGATTTATTATCCGAGGGAAAATGGGTGAAAATAAAGTAAGAACTCTTTGGGATTCACTTTAAACATCTGGGGTTATGGGACATGGCATAGATGAAAGCAACTGGTAATCCACAGAGAAGATAGATAGGAAGAGAAAAAGACGGAGGGGGTAGAGGCTGAAGAACAGCTCCTTTGCCTCAAGATATACATATAATCATATATATAATATATACTCTCTCTATATATATATACATTATATAATACATATATACATATATCTGATTAATCCTGCAAAGGAGAGAGACTGAGGAGAAGTGCCTGGGGTGTGGAGGAGGTGAAAGTTCAGGGGATAGCTAATTCCAGACCAACTAAGGTTACAGGAAATCCTGACTCAAATAAATAAGTAAGTAAGTAAGTAAGTAAATAAATAAGGAGTGAGGGAGAAGGGAGGGGAGAAAGAAGGAAGAAAGAAATTAAGAATCAAAAGGAGAAGACATACTGACAGAATTGATGTGTTCTATCTTTCCTTTTATTTTGAAAACTATATAAAAGTTAAAACAGATTAAACCATAGAGCATTTACAACCATCTGATATTTGATGTACTCTATTGGTCGGTGTCATTCCAGGAAGCTCTGGGAATCAGACTCGGGGGTCTTATTCTTAGCTGTTGATTGCCCCCTTACCAAAAGCTTGCAATACATTGCATTAATCATTATTGCCCAGCTGCACAGAAAGCTTTCCTCGGGACTCGGGACTTGCAAGTCCTGAATTGATCCAGAGTTGTGGTGGATTTTATTAATGAACAAATAAAATAGAATGGGGGTTGTATCCGGAAATCTGATTAGAGCCATGGATCCGAGCCACCTGCTTTCTGCCATAAATAAAGTTACCATGTGGGTGCCTGTCTGATGAATCCATTTATCTAGTCTTTACCTCTGTACTAGGAAAAGCAAGGAGAAATGTTATTTATTGTTTCATAAAAACTCCCAATTAGTGAATCAGCTGGGAGCCTTGATAAATAGCTGTGAACACCAGCATTCCTCCTAAGATGGTTTGTAGATCCAGAGATACTAGAAGGTTCCGTGGAGACTAGAAGGTTATTGGTTTGTCAGGTCAGGAAAATTGGACTCAAATCTTCACGGTTTCATGAACTCAGCATGCTCAGCTTTTCTGTCATGGTCATTTGTTATTATTTCTGTGGTTGTTAGATAATGATCTCTCTGTTTTGTTTATTTTTTTATAACAAGCATGAGCTATGGTGTGACTCTGCTAATGACCTTGAACCATTTCGATGACTACAGATTGGTTTTGCTAGTATGGTATTGTATAAAAATTCACCCATGCAAATGCACACATCTGTAAGGAGCATCCAGGAAGTGCCAAGTAGCGCTCAGAGTCTACATATATCAATGCTTAAAAAAAAAAAGGTTAAAAAAATGCAAAACAGGGATTCATAAGGTTGGAAAAGTCTCCAGTATAAAATTATTTAGCCAGACTAAGCTTCACTGAAAAATATCAATCCAGATATTGTGGCTCGTATCTGTAACCCCAGAATTTGAGAGGCTGAGGCAGAGAATCAGGGGTTTTCAAGGACAGCATGGAAGACAGGAGACCTTTGCTCAAAAAAGCAAAAAAGAAAAAAATATTGGGGTGATACAAAGAGGCAGACAGTTATAAGGAAAAAAAGAGCAGAAGAATTATTCTGTGTTTACAGAAAAACTTAAAAAGAAACAACACGGTAGAAGCGAGGGGGTGGAGCTCAGTTTGTACAGTGCTTGCCTAGCAAGCGGGAAGCCCTGAATTTGATTCCCAGAACTGCAGGAACCCAGGGTCCTTGTCACTTGCCCACTTGCCCCTGTCATTCTAGCACGGGAGGGGAATGAAAGCTGGAGGATCTGAAATCCAAGGTTGTTCTCAGCATTTATCAACTTCAAGCAAGTCTGGAGTCAGGGTGGGGAACCTTCAAGTAGAAGCAAGGAGATGGGGTTGGGAAGTAGCTGGAGGCAGGGATGGGGGAGGATAGAAGAGGGTTGTGGAAGAGGACAGTAAAGAGGGAGAGCAAGAATAGGAACTCACTATGTTCTGTAAGCATACCCAAGAGACAGAAAGTCACCTAAGTATTCCATGATGTGCTATGCTTACATGATTTCAATGTTTAAGTGTGCAGGTGTATGTATGTGTAGCGCCCAGAAGAGAAGTTCAAATGCCCTTACTCTTTTAATTTTGGTTTTGAGGCAGGGTCTCTTACTGGCCTGGAACTTCCCAAGGTGTCTAGATTGGTTGAATAGTAAGTCTTAGGGAGTGTGATCTCCCTGATCTGTCCTTTGAGTGTTACCTCAGATGTGGCGAGCACAAGGTCATGCCCTTCCATTTACATTCAGTCTCTAGAGAGTGGCGAGCATGCCAGGACAAACGCTGTACAATCCATATACAGACTCAGAAAAGTTCTGGGTCATTCTGGCTCCTTCTGGAGAGTGGTTCACATGAACATTAGACCTACATCAACAGCTTGACTCCTTCTGCACGTTTTCTGCTTCCTTCTCCTCTATTCCACACATGTGGATCTGCTGGAAACTTACTAAAAATCATCCTACATATTAAACCCCATTTCAGATCACCTCTCCAGGTAAGTCCACTTGGGACTCAGCCACTCCTCGCGCTGTTAATAGGTAGGATCCATATGGTGGGACAGTCAGTTTTGAGTGACTGCAACCTTCAGGTGAGGAACTACTTGTGAGTCAATTACAGCACCTAATATAGGAATTGCAGGAAGTATTCCACTAGTCCCTCGGTGCTGAGAAGAATGAAACATGGGAGAGGAGAGTTTACAGTTAACTTCTCTCTCTCTCTCTCTCTCTCTCTCTCTCTCTCTCTCTCTCTCTCTCTCTCTTTCTCTCTCTCTCTTTCTCTCTCTCTTTCTCTCTCTCTCTCTCTCTCTCTCTCTCTCTCTCATTTAAAGATCTCACAGACATGGACTGTCACTTTGGTAAGAGGTTTCTTAGGAGAGCTATTATCACCATGGAGAAGCAGGCATAGCATGGTGGGGGCTCTGCAGAGAGGTCAGTCCTACATGGAAAATTTGGGGTCCCTTCTTAGAGGTTTCTGGAAAAGGTACTATTTCATGTGAGTGATTGATGAGTAACCCATGGTATATGCTTGTAGCCAGGCCATCTCAGAGTTAGCTATGATAGTGAGGAGGGCATGACATTGGAGAGAAGCAAGTCATTTTGGTTCAGAAAATCAAATGACCGTCATTTCAGGGGTTATCATATTTGAACAATGTCAGAGCCCATAGATGTGGATTCTTTCCACCTCGACTAAAAGTCAGAGAGTTCAGGCCTATTCTTGCTCCTTCAAGGTTATTGACCTGAGATTTGACTTAAGGTGTGGTTACTAACAGGACACCTTGACCTAGGGTGTGGTTACTGGGTGTTTTGGGTATTAAGATGGTAATCACTTTGTTTGTTCCTCGTTTTACAATTCTATACAATTTCTTCCCCTCTTTTGGATTAGGGTATTTAAAAATCATAAGAAAAAAAAACACAGGCGGACTCAGTATCCACTGGGTTGCCCTCCTGGTACTGTCCTACCTGTCTGTTTCTTTATCTGTTTATTCTCCCTGACATTTCAAATCCACGCCTCTGCCCTGGAACATCAGAGCCCATCAAGGCTGGACTCAGATGGTGTCCCAATGTGGGGCCCTGACAGAACAAAAATGGAGGAACTTTACAAAATGATATGGCCCTGTGTAGCGTGAAGAATAAAAACCTAGAGACAGACATTGGAGTTCAACCTGAAGATCAGAAAAGCAAAGCAGTCAAGCCATTCGAGAGTGTTTACCTCTATGAAATCTTCAAACTGAAAGAGAGCGAGTTCCTGTCTTATCTCACCTTAGCCCTGACTAAGACGTATGTGTGGGATGTGCATGTGAGTCTGCATGTTCACCTATGTAGGTGAAGACATTTGAGTACGCATGGAGAAGGCTGTCTCTGGGAACCTTCAAAATCACTCTCTGCTTTTTTCACTTGAGATAGGTTCCCTCTGTTGAACCTGGAGCTGGAAGACATAGGCTAGTCTAGCGAGCCAGCTTCCTCCAGACATTCCGTTTCCACTTTTAAGTACTGAAATATAGGCAGGCCAGCATGCCCATCCAGTATTAATGTGGGGCCTGTTGATCCAAACCCTGATCTTCACACTGAAGTGACAAAAGCTTTAGCCAAAGAGCCATCTCCCCAGTCCCTTTGCTTTCACTGTTCTAGACTTCAATCTCAACTTTCAAAAGGACTTCTTTTCAGGTGGGGCTTGGATTTCACCCCATGGGTGTGTGGAGGGGTTAGTTCTGAGAAAGTGATCATCCTATTCAAATGAGAGGCATCCGCAGTCGCTTCTCTGTTAATTCACGGAGGTTTTGTGCTGTCTTTGGAGGCTAACAGCTTTTGAGCTGTGATAGATGACAAGGCTGGATGTACTTGAACAGAAAAGTAGAGCAGGGAGCAATTCTTTAACTCCGGAGACAGCTGGACTCCAAAGCTAACTTAATAAATGTCTCCTCCTGAAACGTTCTAAAGGCTTCTCTCAGGTAAAAACTAAATTGCTCACCTGGAGGTGTACCCTGATGAAGGTGAGAACAAAATCACTTCACTAAATGTCCGTGG